ATAGGACCCAGGAAGCGACAGCCCTCTGTAACCTATGCAGAAAGGAGCTTTGTCCCTTTCCATGGCCCCTTGGTGTGGTCCAGCCCTTGTTAGAGCTGCTTGCCCTCATAATCTGATCATGTTGCTTAGGGGTTTTATTCCTCTTCTCCATTTGAATCCACTGTACCATATATACATATGCAATGAGCTAATGTGCATTTATGCATTTGTTATCATTTTTAAATACTAGAGTCTAAAGAAGTAAAAAGACAGTGGATGATTGTAAGATTGTCCTGAGAACACTTACTAAAGCATTTAAAGCATTCTTACCATTATTATATGGCTGTATACTTATAACTCTATGTGTGGAATGTGTAGATCTGTTGTTAATTTTTTACGATTTTCCTATACTTTATGACATTCCAAGAAGATGAAAGCTCTTTACTGCCAAGATCTTGGAGAAGTGGCTTCTATCATGTCTGTAGAGAAAGGTTTGATCCTAGCTTATGGCTTCACTCAGTTCTTATGGTAGTTTTCCTAAGCTCATATCATCAGTCAAGTTGACATCTTCATAGGATTTGATAGTACTGAAATGTGTATATGTGTATGTGTTCACCCTGGCATGGGTGTGTGGAGGCCAGAGGTAGAGTTTGGGAGTCCTCCTCACTTGTACTCTGCTTTATTTTTTGAGACAGGATCTCTCACTGAGCTCTGTTTTGTTTAGACTTGCTGACCAGCAAAGTCCCAGGCTTTAATTGTTTCTGTCTCCTAATGTGGGGAGTGGGAGGTGCTTACTGGTGCACCCAGATTTTTACATAGGTACTAGGGAGCCAGATTCAGGGGCTTGTGTTCATGCAGCAAGCACTTTACCCATTGAGCCCCACATTGAATATTTTTCTTTTCTTTTTTTTTTTTTTTACTTTCTTAAACATTAAATAATTTGGATTACTGCTACATTTGGCTGGTAAGCAGTTGAAAGAGAGCAAGTAAGAGAGAAGAGCCCTGCTCGCTGGGAACTGTGGGCCCTGTCCAGTGGCAGCTCTTGCTATGGAAGTCACAGGGGCCTTCAAGCATGCGGCAAAGGAACCCTGACACCAACTCAACTATAAGTGGTAGGGTGGAGCAGACCCATTCTATAGGACTGAACCCTTGGTGGGTCTGTCTGTTAATAGACATCTGCATGTCCTGCAGGAAGTCCTCCTTTGCAACTACTCATCCTTCAAATTTCTGCATGTGGAGAGTTAACAAAGAGAAGCATGATGATGGGAGCTGAGCAGGGCTCTTCTGGGTGGTGCATCCACAAGGCTCAGAGCTCCAGCACTTCCAGCCATGCCAGAAGCTAAGGAGAGCAGTGGGGCCATCCTCCCCTCAGAGAGAACTGCCTGTCAGCACCTTCACTCTGCACCCACAGCCTCCAGAACTATAAGGGACCACTAGTCTATGTGTGCTAGGCAGCTCCGAGTGGAGGGTTCAAAAAACTACTAATCCACCAACTAGATGTTTCTCATCATCATGCCACAGCGTGCCTTAAAATCTAGTTGGAAACTGAACAGGAAGTTATTTCATTCTTCAAGCTGACATGGCTTAAACAACTTATACTCAGCATCCCCTGAGGGATAAAGCAGTAGCTGCTGTTTGGGTGGGGGGAGAGGTTGTTAAGACACCAGTATTTGTGACAGGGCTGCAAATGGCTTCCACTCTGATGGGTATTTCTCTTTCATGGCAATTCTCAGAAGCAAGGTAGGACTTTTGCTGGCAACTTCTAAATTTCTTCTTAAAGCCCTCTCTTTTAGATTAGGCTATAAAAATGGGATTAGGGCAGGGGCCAGTGAGATGGCTCTGAAGATAAAGGCACTTAGCACCATACCTGACATCTAAGTGCAATCCCCGAAAGGAGAAAACCAACTCCCTTAAGTTGTCCTCTGAACTCTGTACACACCAAGGCACCCTCCACCACCAAATGATGTGTGTGGTGTGTGGTGCGTGTGTGCGTGCGTGTTTGTGTGTAAGGCAGAGGGCCCTGAAGTTTAGAAATGTTTCTAAATTTCCAGTAGAAAGGAATCTGACATGGCAGAATTAGTGCCCTTTAAAATATGCTGTTGCTTAGCTCCAGGTTGAACCTATGACATTGTGTGGGGCAGAGTGACAGAATCCTATAAAAGGTGAGGTGTCCTACTGTCATCCAGTATTAATTGGTCTCAGATTGCCTCACTGAGTCCTGGCTTGCATTAGCAGGTGCTGGCCACAGCCTCAGAGCATCCTGCCCAGCAGGCCTGGGTCTGGGCAGAGGAAATGAAACCTAGCTGTTTACTATGAGATTTACAATAGACCTGCCAGTGCAGGAAGTGGTGAAAAGTTGATTGATCACTTAGACACAGCTCTACAACAAGAAACAGGATATAGGCTTTCATTTATGCCTGAGTCCCACCCCAGAGTACATTTTAGGCTCCTTTTGCACTTTGACTGTTTCATGGGCTGTGGGTTCTTTTTAACACCAAAACTTAGTCACCAAATGTAAGGTCATTGGGGGGACAATGTCAGTTTAACTGTATGAGAGGTGTGTGCTTATAGCTCTTACTTTTATATTTCCACTGTAGTTAATTTACTAGAACTTGACAGCAATCCATAATTTTTTAAATCCTCCAAACGGGATGTTATATCACAATTGTGCAAAGAATAAACTATTTTTACAGTTATCTGGTAGGATTACATTTGTATCAACTGCTAAGAAAATCTAGTTTGGAGTGTGACTTTATGTAACAGTAAGATCCACGTGGCAAGCCTCTTAAGTACTGATTCTCTTCAGTCTAACAAATGCATTCTGAGCATGTTAGATGTTCCTCATTTACACATAAAAGACATGGCTGCAGCCAAGAACTCGTATGTGTTCACTAAGAATATCAGGATGGCTGACGCTTGTAAGAGTCTGGCTATTTAATGTCACTGACAAAGATTTTTTTTTTTTTTTTATGTGAACTAGCCAGTTCTGCTTTGAATATGACAAAAGGAACCACCAACTCCCTTAGATAGCTTGATTTTTTTTTTTGAAATGGTAGCACCATTACAGAAATGGATTTTAGAACTTACAAGGAACAGCAAATTAGGACCATAATAATTATGCTTGTGCTTGGAAGAACAAAATGGCTACCCTGTCACGATGCGATCTTTCTCCCCAAATAATGTCCCCATTTTCCTCTTATCTATGTGAAACAGTTGAGTAGTGAGCCCCATTTTCATTCCTCCAACTCTTACATCAAATTCTATGCTCATTCTATTGTGAAATTTTAACTATTTTATCCCTGCATGGGGGGGGGGGCTCTAGAATGACACTTGTGTAGACTTAGTGTGTCTGTAAGAACTGTCTAACAGGACACTAGCCATCCTGAACTAGTGAAAATGGGACAGTTAGAGAAAGAGATAGAAGCTGAGCATGGTTGTGCACACATATAACCCACCACTCAGGAGCTAGAGGCAGGAGGGTAGTAAACTTGAGGCCGGGTAAAGTTCAGGGCCACCCTGAGCTGTATAACCTGACCATTTCTCAAAAGACAAGAGCTGTAATTATAGGTCATTGCTATAGTTTATCTAGTGTGCATAAGTCTGTGGGCTTAATCTCCAGGAAACCTTTCCCTCTTTTTATTTATTTTTTTTAAGCCACATATGACTTTAAAATACTCTTTCTGGAAAAAATGAAGATTCACATAGATGATTATGGAGACAGGGCCATTTGGATTATGTGGTGTGTCCACAGCTACACTTTGTGTGATGCCTCATAGTGGTGAAGGCCCAGCTGCAGGTTGTCCCTCTACTGAGTCATTAACTCGCTCCACCTGGCCTGCCTGGGGTCCTCTTTACCTTGGCAGGCCTTCTCCCTTGGTAGCTGGGAGATGCCCATTGAAGCACTGGGCTTTTCTTCTGCCCTCATCCCCTTCTCACTCTGCCCATCGTCAGACATTGCTCCACCAAGTCAGTGTAGGAATGCATGGGTACACTGTCAATTGTGAGGGTGGGGCTTGGGCACATGCCAGCTCCTCCTTGGGAAGCGCTGTCTTTGTCCACATCAGCTCCTCTGAAATGAAGAGCTTTGTTTGTTTGTTTGTTTGTCGTGTGAGCACATGTAGAGGTCAGAGGACATCTTGTGGTGTTATGAGCGTTTTCCCAACAGCCTGGTCCCAGAGCCATGCCAGTTCCAAATAACACACAGAGATACTGCATTAGATATAAAGCTGTTGGCCTGTTACTAGCGTTTTTTAATTGGCTAGCTCTGTCTTAAATATTAACCTATTTCTATCAATCTTAAGTATTTCTACGTGGCCTTATCTTACCGGAGAGAGGGTCCGGAGTTCTGCTATCTCAAGTCTCTACATGTTGAATCTCCCTACCTCTCTCCAAATCCTCCTTGTCTCCTAGTCCCGCCTATCTTGCTTTCCTATTGGCCAACAGGGCTTTATTCATTAACCAATAAGAGAAACATATTTACAGAATGACATCTCCCATCATTGTGGGAGTCAGTTCTTCTACCATGTGTGTCTAGAGGATGGAATCATCAGGCTTGGTGAGGGGTGCCTTTACTCACTGAGCCATCTCACCAGCCCCCAAATGCGAACGTTTTTAATTAGCAGGTATTACATTCTTAGTAGATTTGACAGTAAGCAACACTAAGGCTCCATTACCTTCTGTGTCATTTGTCCAGTTTTCTGTTGGACTGTCATGTCTTAGAATTCTGGTTTCCAAAACTTCCTGTGGATTAGGCCCTTGTCAGTGATGTAAGTTGGACATGTTTTTCCCACCTTAGCATTAGCCCTTTGACCTGGTTTTGGTGAATTGTGGGTTTTCCCTTAGTTGAATGTATCAAGCTTCTTTTCCCATAGCTTCTGTCCTAGGGTGGGAGGAAGGCTTTCCTCATTCTGAAGTCACAGAAAATCTGCACTTCCTGCACTGCTTTGTGATGCTTTATATCCTATTGTCACCAGTCTGATTAATGAGCAGACCTAATCTTTCTTCTTAATACAATTTTCAAGGTCTAAAAAGTTGGCTGCCCTCGCAGAAGCCATGAAAGCAGTCTCCCTCAGTAAGGCCCAGCTGGGGTTAGAGCTACAAGAACTGGAAGCTGCTGCACTTCTTGTTCAGGAGGAAGAAACTGCCGGAAAGGCAGCACAGTGTGGTCCCACACAGCAGGCTCCAGGCTCCAGTCCGGAGTCCAGTGACTCAGACAGTACCACATCGTCTGACACAGAAGACTCAGCTTCAGAGCAAGAGGAGCTTGTTGGGACTGAACCCTTACTGCTCACTTCTCCGCAAGCCCCCCTTTTGGAAGAGGATAGTTCCCTGCTGAGCCAGGAGAGCGGGCTCTGCAGAAACATGGCCAGCCAGGAGTGTGAAGTCAGTCAAGGGCAGACCCGGGCTCCTCTGATAGAGGAGGTTGGGGATGAGCTAAGGACCACACTTCAGGTTTCCACACCTCCTGATGTCAGTGCTGGGAGCCACAGCAGCATGCAGGATGGAGAGGAGAGTGGACAGGTACTCGGTGATTGACTCACAATGGTTGTTGGCTCACAGGGAACTTAGGTCACCTGGACTCTCATTTAGACATGGAATTTCTCATTTCCACTCTACTTTTTCTGCCTGGATATAGGCATTGCTTTTCAGTGAGTTAACTTTTATACATTTATTTTTTTGTTGTTGTTGTTTTGCAATTTGAAAGATAAAATCCTAAAGAATTCTTTCCAAGATGTAAGTAATATTTTAAAATGAAGAACATAGTTCTACTAGGAATAGCTCTAGACCAGTGATCTCAACCTCCCTAAGCCTGTGACTCTTTAATATGGTTCTTCATGTTGTAGTGACCCCTCCCCCAAACATAAAGCCATTGGGTTGCTACATTGTAAGTCTAATTTTGCTACTGTTTGAATCACAGTATGAATAATCTGATACACAAGATACCTGATATTTAACCCCCAAAAGGGTCAAGACCCACAGGTTGAGAACTGCTGCTCTAAGTGTAGCGGGACAGCTGACAGGCAGTATTCACGTTTGAGGTGAGAAATACTAACAAGTGAGCACACTAGGTGAAATGCTCATTGCAACCAGGATAGTGAATTTCCCCATCGGCTCCAGCTGTCTTTGGATCATTTGACATCCCCCTTTCCCAGCCAGATACCACCCACCTTTGTCCCCGGAGTGGCCACTGATGTGCTGTGCTATAGTCCAGTAGCTTGCATTGCCTGCATTGCACATAAACCGAAGCATTCAGTGTTTGATCAAGCTCTTTTCACTGCACATGGTTATTGTGAGATAAGGTATGCTGAGTCTTTTGTGTTGTCTTCTCGGTGTGGAGACCATCTCTTGGAATGGGTTTGTCCATTCACTGGCTGATAGACATTTGAGTTGCTGCCAGTGTTTGGACTGTTAATAAACTGTGTGAGCATTTGGGTACAAATCTCTGTGTGCACATGTTTCCTTTTTCCTAGGTAAGTATCTGTATGATTTGCTGAGTGTGTGGTAGGGACACATTTAACATTTTACCAGATTGTGAAATATTTTCCCTCATAGCTTGAATGGACCAGTTTATACCAGCAGTAGGTAGCTGTTTCCATTTTCTCCACTGCTCAGTGCTACTTGGTATTTTCATCTTTTTTACATTTGCTTATTTAGTTACTGTGCTTGCATGGGTGGGTGCTGGTGGGTGGGTGCGTGTGAAGTTAGAGGTCAGAGAACCACTTTCAGGAGTCAGCTTTTGCCTTCCACCATGTGGATTGCAAAGATGGAACTTGGGTCATCAGACTTGGTGTCAAACACCCTTCCCCTGAGCTAGCCCCTTTAGTGTTTACCATTCCAGCAGGTGTGGAGTTGAAGCCTGATTCTGAGCTATATTTACTGATTTAAGATTTACTGTGCTGAGCTGGGTGGTGGCAAAGCACACACCTTTAACCCCAGCACTCAGGGGGCAGAGGAAGGCAGATCTCTGAGTTTGAGGCCAGAGGCCAGCCTGGTCTACAGAGCCAGTTCCAGGATAGCCAGGGCTACACAGAGAACCCCTGTCTCGAAAATAATAATAATAAAATAAAATAATAAAAGATTTATTGTGCTGAGCCTCTTTTCACAGGCTTGTCACTCACATATCCTCCATAAGTGTCCAAGTCTTTTTTTTTTTTTTTTTTTTTTTTTTTTTTTTTTTAATTTAAATTTGAAACAAAGTTGTTTTACATGTCAATCCCAGTTCTCTCAACCTCCTATCCTTCCTTCTCACCCCACCAAACCCCAGCCCCTCCCTTTTCTGCTCCTCAGGGAGGGTGAGGCCTTCCATGGGGGGGGTCTTCAAAGTCATATCATTTGGGGCAGGGCCTATCTTTTGCCAGTTTAAAAAAGGTAGTTTATTTTCTTTTTAGTTTGAGAGTTCTTTATAAGGTTTGGATATAAGTTCTCATTATGAGTCATGGTTTCCTGCTTTTTTACATGCCTTATCTTTGATCAGCTGGCACACTCTAGATTTTATGCTGGGTGTTGGGTTTGCATTCCTGCAAATATTTTTTTTTTTTTTTAATCTTTCTTTAGGGAATCAACTAAGTGACTTGTAGTGGTTTGGATCTGGCTTCTGTATTTGTTTATTCTAGGGCAGAGCTTGGTCTAGGGTCCATAATTAGCCAGCGTTTATTTTCCTGAGAATAGTCTTTCAGTGTCTGTGTCTGCCTGCTTCTTTACACCACCCCCTGACTTTTTTGAATACCTGTCACCAAATGCCTGGCAGAAACAACTTAGAAAAAAAAAAAAAGAATCATTTTGGCTTGTAATTTCAAAGAGATTTCTATCCTTTTGGGTGGGAAAGACGGGGAGGGGGTGGAAATGCTTCCATCTGTGAAGGTGAGAGATTTCGAGGGTGGCTTATTCACATGGTGGCAAGTAGAGAAAACAGACATGAACTAAAAGCAAAGGCCTACCTCTAGTGACCTGCTTCCTCCTAGCCACGCCCACTGCAATAGCTCCACCGATGTCAAAATACTGCCACAGACTTAGGAGAAAATGTCCAAAACATAAGACTGGAACCCTTTCAGGTTCGAATCACCATACTTTCCTGCTCTTTGGTTTTCCCCCATAGGCCACAGCAGCTGCCACAGTTGGAAAGCCCTTGGCCTGTCTCCTGAGTGCCACACTTCACTGACACTTGGATTGTCCCTCCTGTACAGTGGGACGGTCTTAGAGCTCACCTGGTCTGTTCCTGTCTTCCATCACCTGATGTTCATTGTCTTGAGAAGTTATGGCTTCATACAGGTCCCATTTTTCTCTTCTACTGCTCTCTCTGACTATCTTGAATGGAAATGGTCACATTTAGGTGCATTTCCCAGCTTGCAGGTTAGTTGCTGGGGAAGTAGGGCTGGGTCAGGTCTTGTCATTCCTAGACACCACTAGTGTACTGTCAGTGATGTAGACACACATGGTGAGTGAATGAACAAGTAAAATAAACCGATTTGCTTTGGGTGGAAATGAAATGAAACCTGATATGCATTCATTCATCTCAGCACTTTTTATTCCAAGACTGTATGGTTCCCTTCCCTTTGAATTAGAAAGACTGCCAGGATTTGTATTTCTAATATAAATTCCAGTTGTATTAACATGTTAGTTGGGGTGACTGTGCCGTTTGACATGCGTGTTAACTCCTAAACACTGTAACAACTTGGTCTGGGTATGTCGGAGTCTTTTCTCAGGCTCCCTGGAGAGCTTCAGAATTTCTGTGACCATTGCAAATGCACTTCTCAGCAGCGTTACCTGCGGCTGAATCAAAAGGCTTTGGAAAAAATCCTCTCCTGTTTAAATGTTTAACGTCATGGACATTTTTTCCTTTCATCAATTCCTGTTCCTAGGAATCTGAACAGGATTGACTTCCGTGAGAATTGTCTTGGAAAAACTGCTTTCCTTAAAGATATGTAAACTTGATCCTGCTGACATTTGTAAAGCTGAGGGGCTCTGTGAACTCTCCCATACTATTAGAGATGACATGTGTGAGTGCCACAGCTTCAGACTCCTGGGTTCAGTTTGGCATTCCCTTCAACCTCCCTTTGTCCATGGGGCTTAAAGCTCATATATCATGCCACCTGGCCTTTGTGGCTAAGAACACTATTGCAGCACACCTGCAGCCCTGAGCATCCCTCAGAGGGACTGCCCTTTGAGTTTTTATGCTAAACAACTTGCCAGGCAGCTTTAGGGATATCCTGTAACAATAGGAGTTTCCCAGGAATGCTGGATGATGGGAGAAAAGGCAAGTTAGGGAAAGAACAGACAGGAGACCACAATGACTCCCTAATCCCAGCACAGTGAGATTTGACTCTTTGAGGTTGGCAAGACATAGAATTGGGTTCCAGAACTTTGGCTCAGGGATGACCTTCCCTGAAGGGTTATGTCAAAATAGGACTAAAATTATAGTCATGGGTCACCTAGCAAGGGGGATATACTTGAGAAGTGCAAAGTTGTTATTTTGTTATTCAGTGTGTAAACATCACGGAATCTTCTTACAGAAAGGTTGCTTTGGTGTCATCAAGTGATAGAATCTCTTGGGGTTTTTTTTTTTTTTTTTTTTTTTTTTTTTTTTGAGTTTTTCAACAGTCTTACTATATAGCCTAGGTTGGCCTGAAACTTAGTGTCTTTCTATGACAGCCTGCCAAGTGCAGGAATTACGGGCCTGTGCCACACTGTGCTAGGTGATGGAAACTTAGGCTTCTATCTTCTTATGTGCAACTTGTCTGTATTTTTGTTGCTTATAGGACTGTGAGACTTGATGTTCAAAACAATTGATGAACTTGAAGAGTTAAACCAACTTGAAGTTCATCCTTCTTGCTGGACATCCCCAAGCTACCTAACAACAGGTTCCTAGGGGACTCAGCACTGTAAAATGACCCAGCTCTGACCATCATTCAGAAACAGGCTGGTGATCAAAATCTTCACAGTTCAGCAGGTGAGGTAGAAATATTAATTATATCAGTGTGACACAATGATAACTTGTCCCCTGGCTTCTCATCATTACCAACTGGCTTTTCTTATTTGTCCCATTATCTGTGAAGAGTAATTCGTGGTCTTGTTATGGGCATGGTGGGGCTCTGCTGCTGTAACCAGGATGGTATCATCTTTCACCAGCACAAGATTAATTTACCAATAAGACCAGGCTGCTCCTGCCACATGCTGAATTGGATGGCAGATGCTGGGCGGTTTTCACACCTGCCAGTGTGGGAAACAGATCCTGTTACTGTGTACTAGAGGGACTTATAAACATTTATTACATTATTTTAAAACAAACTCCTTTATATTTTATAAGAAGTCACTGGAAATCTCCATAATAATGATAAGAAATAAGAACAGGTACCATTAAAAGAAATAGGAATGCAATTTAAAATACATCATATTTTCAAAAATGTTAATTGAAAAATATTTTGTGATGTAGAATTCTCCCCCAAATAACATGACCTGTCATATCGTGTCATTGCATATCAGGTAAATTCAAGTTAAGTTTCACAAACACAGCTCTTTGAGGGTTTGGTTGGGGTTTAACATTAGCCTAACTC